CCTGGGACCGGCTGTGACCCGGTGTTGTGAGTGCCCCGGCAGCTGGTGACGCCCTGGGACCGGCTGTGATCCGGTGTTGTGAGTGCCCCGGCAGCTGGTGACGCCCTGGGACCGGCTGTGACCCGGTGTTGTGAGTGCCCCGGCAGCTGGTGACGCCCTGGGACCGGCTGTGACCCGGTGTTGTGTGTGCCCCGGCAGCCGATGACGCCCTGGGACCGGCTGTGACCTGGTATTGTGTGTGCCTCGGCAGCCGGTGACGCCCTGGGACCGGCTGTGACCCGGTGTTGTGTATGTCCCGGCAGCTGGTGACGCCCTGGGACCGGCTGTGACCCGGTGTTGTGTGTGTCCCGGCAGCCGGTGACACCCTGGGACCGGCTGTGACCCGGTGTTGTGTGTGTCCCGGCAGCCGGTGACGCCCTGGGACCGGCTGTGACCCGGTGTTGTGAGTGCCCCGGCAGCAGGTGACGCCCTGGGACCGGCTGTGATCCGGTGTTGTGTGTGCCCCGGCAGCTGGTGACGCCCTGGGACCGGCTGTGACCCGGTGTTGTGTGTGCCCCGGCAGCCGGTGACGCCCTGGGACCGGCTGTGACCCGGTGTTGTGTGTGCCCCGGCAGCCGGTGACGCCCTGGGACCGGCTGTGACCCGATGTTGTGTGTGTCCCGGCAGCCGGTGACGCCCTGGGACCGGCTGTGACCCGGTGTTGTGTGTGTCCCGGCAGCCGGTGACGCCCTGGGACCGGCTGTGACCCGGTGTTGTGTGTGCCCCGGCAGCCGGTGACGCCCTGGGACCGGCTGTGACCGGGTGTTGTGTGTGCCCCGGCAGCCGGTGACGCCCTGGGACCGGCTGTGACCGGGTGTTGTGTGTGTCCCGGCAGCCGGTGACGCCCTGGGACCGGCTGTGACCCGGTGTTGTGTGTGTCCCGGCAGCTGGTGACGCCCTGGGACCGGCCGTGACCCGGTGTTGTGTGTGCCCCGGCAGCCGGTGACGCCCTGGGACCGGCTGTGACCGGGTGTTGTGTGTGTCCCGGCAGCCGGTGACGCCCTGGGACCGGCTGTGACCCGGTGTTGTGTGTACCCCGGCAGCAGGCGCGGCCGGCGTCTCGGTGGCGAGCCAGCGGGTACGCTCGGACCTGTGGCCCGAGTCCGAGTGCCGCTGTGAGGGCACCTGGGTGGAGCGGCACGTGGACCACGCCGACCCGCTGAAGGTGCTGCCTGACGGCCTGCGTACCGTCGACCTGGCCACGTTCTCGGCGCTGCGGGCGCAGTTCCTGCAGGTACGGCCCGACGAACGGGCGCCGGGCGGCGAGCCGCTGCTGCTGTGACGGCGGCGGCGGCTCTGGCATGCTTCAGCTGAGGCCAGTGACTGCCCGCTGCTCAGCTAGCTATGCTGGCCTGCGGCCACTGCTATGTGCGTCGTCTCAGGCTGTTCCCTTGGCTTTGTTCTTTTGTTTGTTTGTTTTTGTTTTGTTTTTTTTGTTGTTGTTTTTTTGCTTCACGCAGTTCTTTTTCCAAAATTATGCTGGGCTGGGATTGCTGTTAAGTGGGATGTTTGTGAGTGAGTGAGTGCCGGTGAGTGAGAGGTGAGAGGTGAGAGGTGAGAGGTGAGTTCCGGCGCACAGGTCCTCATCTCAGGCTGATGATGCATGACGTATGCTGGGCTGTGACCGCTGTCATAATCAGCGTGTTGGGTAGATTTATGGATGAGTAGTATGACAGTTTAACGCATAGCCAAATACAGCTAGTCACTAAATCGTAGCTGGAAATATATCCGAACTGACGCAGTATCACATTACCCGCTTCTGTAATATACGAGACAGTAGTATTAGCCTTATTCCTCGGAGAAAAACCAGGAAAATGGAAATATAGTTGGGTTGATATTTCGGCAAGATGTCTTTATCGAAACAATGGCAGAAGTATTTGCTATTGTTTCGACAATGGCATGTTGCCGAAATATCAACCAACTGTATCTCCGTTCTACTGGTTTTTCACCGAGGAATAAGCCTAAGACTACTGTCTTATCTATGTGAATAATGTTCCTCGCTATTGCACTGAACAGCTTCTGTAATATTGCCCGTGTCTTGCATTAGCAGCTTTCCGAAGGTTTCGTGCAATAAACGTTTTAAATCATTTCGAATTTGTTAGAAATGTCGTTCATGAATTGGAATGTTTTACCTTACGCACGCGTCGACATAGGCAAGAAATGTTTTAAGCTCCTTGTTTTTTTTGGTGTTATGTGTTCTTATGCAGAAAGTAATCGATCTCCAGCGTCTGATATACCAAAGGTCGGCCTTTCAGTAAAAATATTGCATAAATCTATATGTTGCATGCATAAATTAACCACTAACAACAAACTCTTTCCCTTCCATTTGCGTTGCTCGATGACATAGCGAGAGCAGTTTGCTGGACGTGTATTTAGAGAGCTGACCGTCAGAAGTGCCAGACTACCTAATGTGTCATGGTGACAGGAACGTCACGCTGGCTTGTACCTCAGACTGGCAGAATTGTCGGACTGACGGGAGGACGTCACATGCGACTGACAGACATGCAGACGAAAACATGGAGAGGCAGGCATATATCCATACACGTATACATACATGTATGGATGCATTATACACGTATACATTCATACATCCATACATCCATACACACGTGCATACATGCATCCATATATGTATGCATAAGTGCATACATGCATCCTTACATGCATGGATGCATCCATGCATATATACATATATACATGCATACGCACGGACAGACAGACAGACCGCAGTAGGAGTGCTGCATCATCAGGCGCTAGCTGAGCGGTCTGTCGTGACCGACCGGCGCGGGCGGCTTCCTCTCTCCCGGCAGCGGCTGGAGGGCGTCAGCTTCTCGCAGCTGCCGCGCCGCGTGAACCTGGAGCTGGACCTGGCCTCCAACGACCCCGACCACCCGCTGAGGCTGCTCGAGGAGCTGGGCTCGGCCGAGTACGGCAGCTTCGTGCTGCTGGTGCAGACAATGACGCAGGCCTGGGCCCTGCGCCAGAACATGCGCACCCAGCGCGGCACCTTCCTCTCATGGATGCGCGTGCCCGGCGACGTGCTCATGCCGTGCATCTGTCCGACCGGTGAGCCTGACCACCGGAGGTGAGCTAAGACTGGGGAGGGGGCACGATTGGTGGTGAATACGACCGGCGGTGAACATGGCCGGCGGGGAACACGACCGGTGGAGAACATAACCGATGTGGAACACGACCGGTGGTAAACACGACCGGTGGGGAACACGACCGATGGGAAACAAGACTGGTGGTAAACACGATCGGTGATGAACACGACCGAAGGGGATAAAGATTGGTGGGGAAGACGGCCGTTTGGGAACACGATCTGTGTGGAACATGATCAGAGGGGAACACGACCGGTAGGGAACACGAACGGGGGATACGACTAGAAGGAAACACGACCGGTAGAGGACACAACCAGTAGAGAACACAACCCGTGTGGAACACAACTGGTAGGAAACACAACCGGTAGGGAACATAACCGGTAGGGAACACAGCCGGTAAGGAATACAACCAGTAGTGAACACGACCAGTGTGTGGGCGCGCCGCGGGCTGTGCTCGTGTGTAGGGGCGAGTGCTCCACGGCAGTGGGTCTTGCGCGCACTACAGTTGAAGCCGTGGTTTATAAGAACATTACGAGCGATCCAGAAAGACTTTGCTGCCAAGATAATCACATATCTACACGAACAATTGGCCGCCGTTCTATGTTCCCCAGCCTGGCTCGCTCGTCTTTTTTCAACACAGTGTTCTGATGACTTTGAGTCATGTAAGCTACAACAGAGCCTTACCGGCTGGTCTTCACGTCCGTTCACACCCCTCCTGTTTTGCAACTCCGGCAGGAGCGGTAGTGACCATCAGTGTCCGGCTTCCCGATGAGGAGCTTACAGATGAGCTCAGAGATGCTGCCTCCGAGCAGTACGCCACATTCGTGGACCGCATTCATCAACAGGTAAAGATGCCCAACGTCTTCAGCACGCAGAACACAGGATGCATTGTTTGGCTCGCTTGTCTGTGTTCAAGTCGTAAGTTACTACTTTGCTACTTTACGTTTCGAGTTAACTAATCAGGCTTACGTATCAGCAGGTGGCATTATCTACTGTTTTGATTCATCCTTCAGTTAACACCATGAGTTTCAGCCATCTTCATGCCTCACTCATTGAGTTGCCTCTCTATGCGCTCGCTCACTGGGCCCATTCAAATCGCCTAGGTCAACCAGCACGTGACCTCCTGCCGACCTGGGAGCTCTCCGTGACCTGTGACCCGCAGGTGGCGACAGCCCTAGCCACCTCGGAGCCGGCCATCGTGGACGTGCACGTGACGTCGCTGACGGCCGGCTCGGTGGTGGTGAACGCTGACGTGTTGCTGGCCACCTCTATGGACGCCGCGCTGGCCCTCACGAAGGTTGGTCGCCGATCACCGGCCGGGCCTCGCGCGTGTAAACACGGACGGTGGGATCGGTAAGGGAGTGGACGCTGACTGGGTTCCGGTGACTGCAGCGCGGTGGTGCTCAGTGCTCAAGGCTACGTACAAAAACAGCAATGTTCGTGGAAAATATAGGTAAGTGTTAGCGGTCATAAACAGATGTGCAACCAGAGGGGGAGGGGGAGGGCATTGGTCCGGACCCCCAGCTCCTTATTCGGGAGCTTGGTATAGTTGTCTTTTAATCTGAATCAGGATATAAGCATATGAAAAGTACTGAGACACCCTCCTTCAAAAACATGACAGTCCCTTGGCACATGGTATGATTCCTGTGCCGAGATCTTCCTCCGCCACTCACGTGTCCGTTGAGACAGCATGTATGGAGCAGTGCTTGGCTGCTTGCAGCCTGAGCTGGTGTCGTGAGTCAGACGACCCCGGCCATGTGCCTCGGGGCTGCCGGGTGTGACACCTGCCGGCCGGCTGCTGCAGGTGCAGACGGCGCTGGAGAGGTACACCCAGCTGACGGAGCCGCCGACGGTCGCCAACATGACTGTGGACCCGTCCGCCACCGCCTATCAGGGTGAGGGCAAGGGTGCAACGATGTGCATTCCGTCGTGAGGTTGGGATAGATCGTGATATTTCCAGCATGCTTACGGAAAGTTGAGCGCCTGTCAGGCGTGAGATTGGTGCCACAACACACATAATAACCTATAGCCGCATGCGCCACGTGTTTCGTAATCGTGAGCCCAGTAGGTTGTTGAGATTTGTGCGCCTGTGTGCCGTGTGTACTCGCCCCCGTGTGCCGGCCGACCTGACGTTTCCACCCCCGTGTGCCGGCCGACCTGACGGATCCGCCCCCGTGTGCCGGCCGACCTGACGTGTCCACCCGTGTTCCGGCCGATCTGACGTTTCCGCCCCCGTGTGCCGACCGACCTGACGTGTCCACCCGTGTTCCGGCCGACCTGGCGTGTCCACCCCTGTGTGGCGACTGAGGTGACCCGTCCACCCTTGTGTGCCGGCCGACCTGACGTGTCCGCCCCTGTGTGGCGACTGAGATGACCCGTCCGCCCCCGTGTGCCGGCCGACCTGACATGTCCGCCCCCGTGTGCCGGCCGACCTGACGTGTCGACCCCTGTGTGGTGACTGAGATGACCCGTCCGCCCCTGGCCGGCAGTGATGCAGTGCGACGAGGATGCCCCGGCGGCACCGGCCAACGGCGTGCTCTCGGTGCCGGACCATCGCACCACGGGCACCAAGGCCACCTACAGCTGCGCCGCCGGCTACGTGTGAGCTCTGCGCCCCTGAGGCCAGGCCGCCCTCCGGCTGGCTGGCCGCGCCGGGGCGTGTTCACGGCTGGGGATGACACACAGCGCTGCGCGGGGATGAGCTATGTCTCCCGACAAAACAAGAGATAATTACAATGGCCGATAACACTGTATTCTCCGAAATGCATATCTCGTCTGGATGTCGCAACTTTCTTGTGGTAGTATGGTATGCAAATGTGCCGCTTGCGAAAAACATGCGTGTCTGGCGTTGTGGAAGCCTTTTTGTGCCGTCACGAACCAAAGTTTGTGAGCTAAGAACATTTTCCTTTAGAGCGCACCCAGCGTGCTGCAGTTTCAGTGCGCACATGCAAACGCCGTCCTTTCCACGCGCTTGTGAATTGAGCATGAGGGGGGTGGGTTGTTCGTCAAAGGGAGTGTAGGCTCACCGGCCACACAGCAGATGTGCAGCACCCAGTCATGGGAGGCAGCACACGAACGCGGGCATCGCTCCTCGTTCAGCAGTTTCAGCCACCGGGCTTGGCTCAGCACCAAGGTTGGGTTGGCTGTTTGGAGAGCTTGTCTTAATTCAAGTCCCCGTCAGCATCCCAACAAAACAGTTCGTCAGCACCGCTATCAGCAGTACGGCTCTCCCTGCGTCCCCGGACTCCCGACAGAGCCAGCTACCGGATGGCGCCATGTCGCCATGCTCTCAGACGGCGCCAGCTACCGGATGGCGCCATGTCGCCATGCTCTCAGACGGCGCCAGCTACCGGATGGCGCCATGTCGCCATGCTCTCAGACGGCGCCAGCTACCGGATGGCGCCATGTCGCCATGCTCTCAGACGGCGCCAGTTACCGGATAGCGCCATGTTTTCAGGCTCTTAAACGGCGCCAGTGGCCGTATGGCGCCATGTTGCCAGGTTCTCGGACGGCGCCAGTGGTCGGATGGCGCCATGTCGCCGGGTTCTCGGAAGGCGCCAGTGGCCGTATGGCGCCATGTTGCCAGGTTCTCCGACGGCGCCAGTGGCCGGATGGCGCCATGTTGCCGGGTTTTCGGACGGCGTCAGTGGCCGTATGGCGCCATGTTGCCGGGTTCTCGGACGGCGCCAGTGGCCGGATGGCGCCATGTTGCCGGGTTCTCGGACGGCGCCAGTGGCCGGATGGCGCCATGTTGCCAGATTCTCGGACGGCGCCAGTGGCCGGATGGTGTCATGTTGCCAGGTTCTCAGACGGCGCCAGTGACCGGATGACGCCGCGTCCCCAGGTTCTCGGACGGCGCCAGCGAGCGCGTGGAGCTGGTATGCGGCCACGTCACGCGCGAGTGGGGCTCGCTGGCCGGGCTGGAGTGCGAGCGGCCGCGCACCACCACCACCGGCGGGCCTGAGACCAGCTCCGTCAGCACCACCGAGCTGCCGGTCACCACCGAGCAGGCAGAGCCCGACTACCTCACCCTCGTCACCATCCCCACCACGGCAGGCACGTGCCTGCGGCCGGAGTCGCGGCCGCAGCCCGGCGGCGGTCGGTTCAGTTCCCACGGCGCGCCGCCTCAGGCGGGAGCTGTCGCTGCCCCGACGCCGAGCACCGCTTTATCCCAGAGCAGCACTCATAAACCACACTCCAAGATCACGCCATCTGTTGACTGAAGCTTTTGTTTCCCTGCCATGTTTAAGCCCATCATTACCTGAGCTTGACGTTTGCGTGCTCAGCAGCACGTGGTTTTCAATGAGCTCCCTTCAGCATTATCCGTTGCGGTTTTATCGGGGTGGGCTCCTTGTCACGCGATTACCTCACATTTATGCCTGTTAAGGTATCATCTAACATCATTCAAGCTTCAAGTTTCAGGGCAATCAAATTGTATCTGTAGGTTCACAATGATGGCCATATCATAAACAGCCCATCACCTGAACGCCCATTCCCTGCGCCGGAAAGCAAGCTGAAATATTATCGATCAGCGTGTGGGAATAGCCGCGGCGAAGGGACGGCGTTGTCGGCACGCCAGCCATTGTTGTCTTGTAAATCTCCACTGTTATTTGCTAGGCGTTTTCGCTTTGCATCAAAGTGACACAATTTCTGTTTGTTTCAGGGCTGCTGCTCATATTTCTTATGATGATCTGGTGTGTTCGAACGGAAGGTCCTATCTGTTCTCTCTTCTCTGAGAAGAAAAAGAGGACGCAAGAAACTCCGTAGTCATGAAGTCGCCGATGCCGCAATGGCAAGAGCCCCAGACATCTCAGCTTTGGATGACGGGCTCCCTGTTGACGAGAATGTCAGCACTTGCTGTTCGTTCGAACAACGTGGAACGGCCATTAATAGCAATGGACTAAGGATGACGTCTTTAAAGACATTGTCTCTGGTACTCAAACTGAAGTAAATGCGCTTCATGCCGTGCCGACTAGTTATCACAGCGCCAGCTGACGCGTCACGTTTTCTGCACGCATGCGCTTACTTTTGCGCCAGTTATCAACGGCATAATTCAGCGGTTTTATCTTTCAGCAGCATTTTGGGAAATTGTGTTGCTTGGGTTTATGTGCCGGCCACTGCAGATTTCATGTTTGTGGCTTCTTGTGTGCACAATACACAACCGGCCTGATCGAGCAAGTGTCCAGTGAAAAAGACGGTAAGAAATTCAAAGCTACTAACAAATGGGCTAAAAACTTGCTGATGTAACTGTGCTTATGACCAGAGTATAGCACGTGACATGGATGATATAAACGCATGTTCCGAAAGCGACAAGCGTCTTTCCGTAACAGGAAAGCCTGTTTATTGTTGAACAGCACCTGACATCAAGCGACGTATTTCCGATAGCTCTTGATCTCGGACTACAGATAAAGAGCATGCAGTGGGAGCACCATCCTTACTACGCAGACAAGCGGTTCGTGCAAGTGTGTGTACATATCTCAGTAAATAGCGTCCACACCAACATGGTTAATAGGTTCCATGCGTGGTACAGGGGAAATGATATAAGCCAGCCACGGTGCAGGCAACGGTCCGTTCAGTGTGCTCCCACCAACGGCAGTGATATATAGCAGAGATCCGCGGGCGAGATAATGTGTCACTAAGGCCTCTGGACCACCGCGATGTATGGCTGGGGTTTTCGGTTGTTAAATGCTTCCCGATATGAAACACGCGCTGAATGAACGGGCACCACGTGGAGGCAACCATTGGCGTAAAGTTTTTCAAGTGCTATGACGCTGGAAACGGTCTGCCATTTTCCGCTCAGACGGGTCGCGTGAATATAAAGAACCTAAATCCAGTTATTCATAATGTTCCAGTGCACGGCTGACGGAACGCTGACTGGACGTTAGTCTGCGCCTTAAGAGGGAGGGGGGGGGGGGGGGGAGGGGGGGGGAGTGTGAAATCTGGCCACGACAGATCCGTGTGTCACGCGAGATGGAGCAGCGTTCCGGTGAAAACCAGCTTTCCAATGGCACAGAAAGTTGCTGAGTTGTGCATGGTTTTGAACACTTCCAACTTCTGGCTAGAGTAAGGACGATCAATCACGGAACAGCCAGTAGCGCCCAATGCGGAGTAGATCTGTTCTGCGCGACGCCGCTCAGCCACCACCCGAGCAGCGATGTTGAATGCCTTCGGTATGGCTCGAGGCAAGGTGTACTTTATGGATGGTACCTTTGACCAGGGCATGCAGTTTGAACGGGACTAACATCCGTCTTTTATTGTCTGCTGAGCATCGCACCTTATTTGACGATAGCGTGGTTTCACGTTTAGAAATTCTCAAGCTTTATGTTTGCGCTAGAATCGGATAATCTGCGGGCCGTTCGACTGGAACACTGTCGCGTTGCCAACGAACGACGGCTGTTTTTGGAGCCACCATAGATCAGAAACAGACTGCAGTTAGTACACGACCTGCCTTGCAGGCCAGGAGGATTTAGCTCGAGGTAACCATGTGGGGCGCGTGGTCAGTAGGCCAGGAAAGAGCGAGAAGATATCGGACACCAAGTGGAGTTGTACTCGGCCGCTCAACAAGGGAATCAAATGTCGCCCAACTCCTTTTATTTACGCACTAAATGGCGACCCAAAATTTTACGGGTGAGTAGATTTACATGGCAAAAAAAACGTGGGAATACGAAGCTAAACTTTTTGCGCACGACAATTCCGCAAATTGGTCCAGGTTGCGCTCTATTCACCGTTATTTGAAGTGGAAATGGCGATGCACTTACGCACGAACTTAGATGCATCTTTTACGCGTCAAACGCAGAGTGAAGTCCGGTGTCATACTGGCGAACGAAAAATGGGCGCAAAATGACCACTGCAGTCGACGCGCCCGAAAACTCCAATGAACAACAACAACTGGCGAACGAACGGTGTATTGCGATCCAGATAAAATGACGCCTACTGCGCCTGGTGAATGATCAAAGCACAACTAAGTATCGTAGTCGTAAGGGACACGCTGTCTGCATGGCAGGAGACGGAAGACATCTGTATCGGGCCCAGGCATTGTGCGGGATTCTGCGAGTTACTGGGCAGGAACCGAACACAATGCGGTCGTTTTCCGGCGCAGGCCGATGCCAAACCTACCGGGGTAAACACAGGGTTTGCGACCAACGCGGCTTATTGGTTTGGTCTGGACCGCACACTGACCCCTACGTCCACAGCCCCTCCCCCCCCCCCTCCTTCCCCACCCCGTATGTTCCCGGTGCTCGGACAAAGCCACCGCCATGCATGGATGGTGTGTGCAAATTGTCCCGGTGAAAGGGATACCGAGGGAGAAAGCGAGCGCTGGGAAGGAAGGGGGATCGATGAACGCAACCAATTGTCTCCTAGCTATCCTAACCCAGTCACTCTGCACGCACTGAGATGATTTCTCGTAGACACGAGGCAAGTACCTGCTGCAATTTTCGACCGCTTTACCAGGCCAGGCGGGATGCGAGGATGTCACCTCGTACGGAAGTATGATGCCACTGACGTATCCGGAAATACCAGAGGCGCGCCACCGGAAACGCCTTTGGCAGACTCGGTTCGCCACTCCCGCGCTCCGCACTCTCACGCAGTACCCCCGGCCGGTCCCGAGCGAGGTCATGCACCCCACCCGTCCGGCGCAGCTGACGGGTGGGGCGGGGCGGCCCCCTGCGGCTGCCGTGAAGGTCAGCGTACACCGGGCGCCGCCAGGGTGCAGCAGCGGGCTCGCCTTCAACCGGCGCGGCCCGGCGCTAGACGCAAACAGCCGGCTCGGCGCCGGCGGCGGAGCCTTGGCGCCGGTTCCTGGTATGGTTTCCGGCGTGGACGGCACCCCCAGTCGGGCCGACGCCGCCACGATCTAGGTCAAGGTCGGCGTTGCAGCCAGCGTGGCGCCGGCCCACCCCCGCCCGGCCGTCCCGCGCTCTTTGCGGCCGCGTCCACACCGCAGGGTCTCCGGGCCGGACGACGTGGCCATGATGCAGCAGACATTGTGCAGGTGCGGATAGTGTGCAGGTGCGGATAGTGTGCAGATACAGATAGTGTGCAGATGCGGATAGTGTGGAGGTGCGGATAGTGTGCAGATACGGAAAGTGTACAGATGTAAATAGTGTGCAGATGCAGATAGTGTGCAGGTGCGGATAGTGTGCAGATGCGGATAGTGTGCAGATGCGGATAGTGTGCAGATGCGGATAGTGTGCAGGTGCGGATAGTGTGCAGATGCGGATAGTGTGCAGGTGCGGATAGTGTGCAGGTGCGGATGGTGTGCAGGTGCGGATAGTATGTAGATGCGGATAGTGTGCAGGTGCGGATAGTGTGCAGGTGCGGATAGTGTGCAGATGCGGATAGTGTGCAGATACGGATAGAGTACAGATGCGGATAGTGTTCAGATGCGGATAGTGTGCAGGTGCGGATAGTGTGCAGGTGCGGATAGTGTGCAGGTGCGGATAGTGTACAGATGCGGATAGTGTGCAGATGCGGATAGTGTGCAGGTGCGGAAAGAGCATGTTCAGATGGTGTGACCGTCAGCAAATGTGCGGTTCCGTAGTGAAGCGTTGCATGATGTAGTAAAAGTATTTTGACTTTTGCATTGCTTCAAGCCAGCACTAGCGCACGCGTATTTGTCTATGCGTGATGACAGGAGTGTATGCAAAACTTCGTAACGGGGAGGGCACGACTCAAAATTTGTCGCTGAAAAACTCATGTTAGCACACCACAGGTACGCGAAGTACCTTGCATGGTGTTAAACCTCGCATTTGTTCAATCTACTTAATTTTCTGCATGTACTTTGGTCTATTAACTGTTGACATTCAAGCTGAAGGCATGCAAAAATCATAAGGTAAGAGCGACGCGCATCTGGTGCCCGTCGTTTTAAACACGGTTTTGTGCGGCTGGTTTCATACGCACAAGTGCTTCCAGTTTCATCTACACAGCGCTTCCAAATCAACGCTGGCATATGTTTGGTTAAGGACAATGTTCCATATTTGTATGGTGTTTTAAACTGAAACAAACATTCTGAAGATCACTCGATGCGGTTCACAGCCCTGCATTTCTTATGGCCTAAAGCCCTCTAATTTATAAGCTACACACCCGCGACGGTATGCAGACCTTTTTGTACGGACTAATTCAAGGTCATTCAGGCATGCGTGCCGTCATAGAAATGTCACTAAAATCATGTCATCCCATAAGCCATGTGGCGTTCATGGCCAAGAAGAATATAATCATCTAGCGGTGTACATTTGGCTTCAAAAATACGTTCTGTTTCATAATTTGTACCCTTGTGACTAGATTGCACCTTTTATAGGTCGTGTGATTCAAAACTTAAAAACCCCTCTCGGTGCTTGCCGAAGGGCCTGCTGGCGCCATTTTTTCCATTGATGTGACTTGCTTAGTTCTTGATATAACCCGATGGGCCAAAGCAACATTAACCTTAACCCATTCGATCTGACATGACAACGGCAATCCCACACCTGCCGATGCACAATAGCGCCCGTCAAAAAACAGTTTGTAGGTGTAGGTGTAGGTCCAAAGACTTTTGACGTCGCTTCCGCATTGACCTGACATGACAACGCCAGGGCCACACCTGCCGATGTACAATAGCGCCCATCAAAGACAGCTGTCCAGAGGCTTTTAACGTCGTTTCCGCATTGTTGTAGTGTGCTTGGTTCTTGAGATCACAGAACGTAAAATAGCTAACGAGGTGACCTACTAATTTAACCTCATAAATTTGACCTGTCGAGGGACACAACCACTGCTGTTCAGTCACAGTCATCTTCTGCAGTTTTACGACACCTTTACAATGTCGTGTGCTCCGTGGCTCTCGGTTCCGTAATATCCTTCATCCTGAGCCACTAGAGGTCACAGAGGGCATGGCTGATTCCGATGCAGAGCTCGTTCAGAATCAGCGACGGGCGGAAATTTGTTCGGCGTGTTTATTTTTTACCAGAAACTTGCCGGAGACTCCAAGAAACCATGCCAACGGATATTCAGCGCAGTGTGGATGAGGTCCACAATGAAGACATTCCGATCGTTCTGCTGATGACATCGGAGAAGAGGATGCTGGCGGGAAAGCAGATCAGAGGGTGTCAGACCAGGAGAGCAGATCAGAGGGTGTCAGACCAGGAGAGCAGATCAGAGGGTGTTAGACCAGGAGAGCAGACCAGAGGGTGTCAGACCA